ATCCAGGCTTCAACCAACGAGGTAAGTCCTTCCTCACATCCGACTGAATTTCATCACGCTTCACTTTAAACCAGTTTGTCTACTTTCTGGGTGAGTCAAAGACCAGGACAGGCTGCAGTTTCCTGGGACAGGATGATGAAAGAAGCTGTGAGGATGAACCACCAGGAGGGCCGGGGGTGCGGACTAGTGACAGCATTGGGAACAAAACCTGCAACAAATCCCTAAACTCGAGGGTGGAGACGCCTGTGCCAGTGGTAAATCACTTTTCCATACACTGAGTGAGCACTTACTGTGTCCCAGACTCAGTACAGACTCGGTCCTGTCATCTTTTTCATGCTTATTGCAGGGAAATTCACAGAATATGAAATTCACCCATTTAAAATGAACATTTTAGAGGGATTCCCTGGTGGTCCAGTGGTTAAGACTACAGGCTTCTATTGCAAGGGGCACGGGTTCAAACCCTGGTGGGGAAGCCAAGATCCCACCTATTCCATGGCACAACCAAATAAAATAAAATGAAGACTTTAGTGGCATTTAGTATATTCACAGGGCTGTATAACCATCACTTGTAGTTCCAGAACATTCTATTACCCCATAAGAAACGCAGTGCCACCGGCTGTCATCCTCAGCCCCTGACAACCAGGAACTCACTCTGTCTTCATGGATTTGCTTGTTGTGGACGTTTCACATAAGTGCGATCACACATTATGTGACCTTTTGTATCTGGCTTATTTCTTTTTTTTTTTTTCATTTTATTAATAAAATATCTTTTTCAAAAAACAGTTTTGAGGGACTTCCCTGATGACCCAGTGGCTAAGACTCCATGCTCCCCATGCAGGAGGCCTGGGTTCAATCCCTGGTCAGGGAACTAGATCCCGCAAACTGCAACTAAACATCCTGCATGCTACAACTAAGTCAGCAAGAACAAGACCAGGTGCTGTCTGTGGCTCAGATCATGAACTCCTTATTGCAAAATTCAGGCTTAAGTTGAAGAAAGTAGGGGAAACTACTAGACCATTCAGGTATGACCTAAATCAAAGTCCTTATGATTATACAGTGGAGGTGACAAGTAGATTCAAGGGATTATATCTGGTAGACAGTGCCTAAAGAACTATGGGTGGAGGTCTGTAACATTGTAGGAGAGGCAGGGACCAAACCTATCCCAAAGAGAAAGAAATTCAAGAAAGCTAAGTGGTTGTCTGAGGAGTCTTTACAAATAACTGAGGAAAAAAGACAAGTGAAGGGCAAAGGAGAAAGGGAAAGACATACCCAACTGAATGCATAGTTCCAGAGAATAGCAAGGAGAGATAAGAAGGCCTTCTTAAATGAACAATGCAAAGAAATAGAAAGAAACAATATAATAGGAAAGACTAGAAATCTGTCCAAGAAAATCGGAGATACCAAGGGAACATTTCATACAAGGGTGGGCATGATAATGGACAGAAATGGTAAGGACTTAACACAAGCAGAAGAGATTTAAGAAGTGGCAAGAATACACAGAAGAACTATACAGGACCTAGTGCAGCCTAATAAATAAATAAGTTCAGTTCAGTACAGTCGCTCAGTCATGTCCGATTCTTTGCAACCTCATGAACCGCAGCACTCCAGAACTCCTTGTCCATCACCAACTCCTGGAGTTTACCCAAACTCATGTCCATTGAGTCGGTGATGCCATCCAGCCATCTCATCCTCTGTCATCCCCTTCTCCTCCGGCCCTCAATCTTCCCCAACACCAGGGTCTTTTCAAATAAACAAATAAAGATTAAAAAAAAAAAAAAGTTTAAGGGACTTCCCCCCAGTCTAGCATCTAAGACTCCAGGCTTCCAACGCAGGGGGGCGTGTGTGCTTTACAAGCTGGGAAGATGAGACTCGCCCTGTTTCCCCTACCCTCAGCGCTGTACATCAGTGTGTGTGGCTGTCTGAAGGGTGGGGGAGGGCAGCTCCAGAATCACGCGTGATTCCTCGTGATCTTGGAGTGACAGACCCAGTTTGCAGACGCCCTGGACCAGCTGCCTGCCTTGAGCCCTGTTTCCCGCGGCGCGGACAGGAGGCCCCGCCGCCAGCCTGGGAAAGCCATCAACTCCTGGGTCTCCAGGATTTTCCTGCTACTCCTCCAGAGGACGTGGAAGGGCTGGGGCAGGCCGTGAACGGGGCGGGGTCAGCCTGGGAGGGGTGGGGCCGGCCGAGAGGAAACCGCAAACAACAAACTTAGGGCTGCAACTCTGAGAACAAGCTGTGCCTGGTGGCCCGGTCCTGGCAGGCGGCAGGGGGCAGGCAGAGGTCAGTGGCGCGGCCTGGCAGAGCTGGGCAGGGCCCCATGCCACCTGGGAGGGTGGTGGTTTAGCATGTGGCACCCACCCCATTTCCCCCACATATGCCAGGCCGGGCAAGGGACAGCATTGAGGTCAGGCTTTGGGGGAACTAGGCAGGGGGCCATGGTCCTTGCTGGGGCAGGGTAGCTGTGGGGTTTGAGAGGAGGGCTCCAGAGGGAGGCTGAGCAAATGCAGGAGCGGGGCCAGGCTCCAAGGCATCCCTGAAGATGCCTCAGGTAGGGCCAGGTCAGGGAGGAGGTGCCACTTGCCAAACCTGGGGTCCTAGGCAGGAGAGGGAATCCCAGTGCCTACGCCTTTCCAGGAAGCCTTCCGAGGAGCGGGGAGAACCCCCTTTGAGCCCCACTTCACAACACGCAGGCTGTCCCTAGGTGCTGCTAAATACCACTCCCTACAAAGAACCCATTTGCTCTGTGGGCTCCACCCTTGTAGGCCTGTCAGCCCTCACTGAGCTGGCTACAAGGGAGACAGTGGTGCCCCATGGGGTCCTTTGGCCCCTAGCCCACACTCCACATGGCGACAAGATCAGTCCTTCTGAAATGACATCCAATGGGGTCTGTGCCCTGCTCACATTCCTTCTGTGGGTGTCCACCCAGGGTCAATGAAACAACAACCAGACAAACGTATGCCACATGTTCACAGCAGCACAACTCGCTACTCCAGAAAGCAGGACACCTCAATGTCCACGGGTGGGTAGCAGATAAACACAGTGAGGTCCAGACAGTGGGGCTATTACTCGGGTGTGAAGAGGAGTGAGGCACCAACACTGCAACACATGTGACTCCTGAGGACACGATGTCTGGAGACAGAAGCCAGACACAGAAGGTTCCAGGGGCTGATCTCAGACCAGCCCATTCCAGGCCCTGCAGAGGATTTCCCCCCTCCACCCCTTTGGTGGCACCACATGGTATGATGTTAGTGCACCAACCAGGGGTCAAACCTATGTCCCCTGCACCGGCAGCGCGTCGTCTCAACCACTGGACCTCTGGCAAGTCCCTCATCTGCTTTCTTCTTGCCTTCTCGCTGTGCTACCTGCTGGTTTCACCTGGCTTTTTCTCAAGACCCCTGCTGTCAGATAAGGAAACTGGTAAGAACGGCAGTCTTAAAGGGACTGGCCTGTCTGCTGTCCTTAACCACTGGACTTCACCGCCCTCTACACTTTGTCTTCTGCCTCCAGGAAGCCCTCCCTGACACACTGCTTCCCCCTCTTCCCCCCAGGATCTGAAGTCAGCCCTGAGCTGTCCAGCAAAGAACTGCATATGGCAAGAATATAATCATGGTTGAGAGAAAGGAGTCTAGAGAGGGAGGAGGGCCAGCCATGAGGGGGAGGTCTGAATTACTGGGTTTTGTTGAATTAGGTTGCATTGTCCAGAGGTGCCCCGCCCCATCTCAAAGCTGTTTTCCTCCCTCCCTTTGGACCCGGGACAGCTGCTTGCTGAACTCCACCTGACCTTGGACTTGGGGAGGCCATGCAGCTTGTCTTCTGAAGCCAAGCTGCTCAGATCCGCCAGACACATGAGGAAGCCCAAGTCGCACAGGAGACCCCCTGTGGGCACCTGGCCCAGGTTCTAGCCTCAGCCTGAGCCCAGCCCACACCTGTGGATGATGAGCCTTCCCAGTGGAGGACCCAGGTGTCCTAGAGCAAGGACAAACCGAGTCTCTCAAGCCCCGTCTGCATCCCTGACTCAGCACCGCCAGGAATAACAAAACGGCTTTGGGACACTAGGTTTGGGGCAGTTTGTTGCAGGACAACGGAAAGACACGATGTGAGGATGCAAACGGGTTTTTATGACTTTTATTAAATCCTTACAAAACAGAATACAAAATTCCGGCATTGACAGTTGGTGTAAAGGAAAACTTCTGAGCTGTATCAGCTCACCTGGTAGAGTGGAGTTAAAGTGCTTGGATGTTTTTCCCCCACTTTAAAAAAAAATCTTTTTTTTTTTTTTTTTTTTACACATCTTAACATTGAAACACTGCTGTACCCCCTTCCCCCAGCGCCGGAGCAGCCTGAGAGCCAGGCTCATTCACAGTAACGGTTCTGACCAGTCCTCCGGGCCGCACTGTTCGAGACAGCGGGGAGGAAGTGGATGTCCCACCTTTGGATTAAAAACAAAAAAAAAGCGGCTCACAGCTCAGCTTTCCCGAGTAAAATGGCCATGGCGCCTCACAGCGGGCGAGAATCCGTTGGTTTGTTTTTTTTACAAAAAGGCAGAATTCTCGGTTGCAAAACATGGAATCACAAATGGGAGAGAAATGATGGTGGGGGTTGGCCTCCCCACCCCTGGAGTCTTTGGAAAGGCCAGTCCACAGATCCGGCGGGCGGGGGCGGGGAGGGGCGGCGGCCCCCACCAGCTACCTAGGACTGCGACAACCTCCAGACGTGGGGGGACCGCAGAAACGGCGCCCGAGCTCCCCACGCCTCGAACCCCTCCCCCCACATTCAAGTATTCTTCAAGAACAGGGAAGGGAAGTCAACTTTTGTTTTAGAAAACTAACGAAACAGAACGAACGACTAGAAGCCGGATCGGGGTACCCGCAGAGGCCGGCCGGGACCCCGGGGACTGCCTGCCGGCGCCCCCCCACCCCCTCGCCCCGGCAGCAGCCCGTGTGCACGTAGAAAAGGAAGCCTGTGTATTGCATAGTGTCTCCTACCCGAGGGCCCAGGCGTCAGATCGGGGAGGGCCCAGACTCCCCAGACCGGCGGGTCACGCGACGTCTGACTCGGGCGCGGGCGGACGGGGCAGCAGCTGCGGCCTTTTCCTGAAGGTGGGCGGGGCAGAGACGCCGCCCGGGGCAGGGGAGGGGGGGCTGACGGGGCATCCACGCCGGACCCGAGGGGCGGCCGGGCAGGACGTGGCCGTGGTCAGACTGAGCCCTGAGAAGGGGCACTCGGGTGCCCGGGTCTGGGGTCCACGGGACCCCCACGTCGGCTGACGGGCGCCTGTTCAGCCCCTCCCGCTTGCCCTGGCGCCCTCCTCCCGGGTGGGCAGTCCCCAGTGGAGGGGCCAGAGGAGGGCCCATCAGCTGCAGCTTAAGGTCAAGGTTCGAGGGAGCCCCGATTGTCGGTCGGCGGGAGGGGGTGGGGGTGTCCAGCGGGCAGTGTCAGTCCGCCCTCCCCGCCCCAGGCTCCGCTCCCGCGACTGCGGAGACCTGAGAAGCCCCCGGCCCCGCCGCCCACCAGGGTGTCTGTGGGGAGGGAAGGAGCTACCGTCTCATCCAGGGGAAGTGGGGGTGGACCGGTCCCTGAAAACACCGCGAGGGCCGGAGAGGGCGGCGGGGCCCCGCCCGGCCCGGGAGACGCCACGCCCTCCTCTCCTGTGTCCCGCGGGCGGAGGGAGGGGCCTTCACAGTGGCCGAGGCGTCCCGGGCGGGGCGGCGGGAGGGCCCACCCGGCCGCGCGCCCTCAGCTTTTCTCCCCCCGAGCCTGCTTTGCTTTTAACACCATTGGAAGGGGGGGTGGGGGGAGAGAAACAGAAGAAAAGAAAAGAAAAAAAAAAAACAACCAACAGCAAAAACCTTATATAAAAAGACCCCCGAGCTGAGCAGAGCGCCTCGGAATCCAGCCGGGAGGGGGAGGGAGGGGAGGGGGTAGGGAAGCCCGCTGGTCAGGGCGGGCGGGCAATAGCTTAAAAAATCTTTTTAGATCTGACGGATGGGGAAGGCCTATGTACAGAGGGAAGGAAGGCGTCACGCGTGGTCTCCCACCAGGACCACGGGGGCCGCGGACAGGCTGGCGCGCTGCCGCCGCTGGGCCAGCTTAGACTGGGAGGGCGGGGACAGCTGCAAGCAGCGTGAGGTAGCTCGGATGACCACGGGCTGGCCCTGCTCCGCCTCCTCCTCCGCCGCGTCTTCCTCCCGCTGGGCCAGCTGCCGGTTCATGGCAATGGCCTCGGCCGCGAACGAAGTGAGGTCTTTGGCACAGCTGTTCCTGGGGACCGGGCGGGGGTGAGGGTCACCAGAGGGAGAAGTAGCCTCGCCTCCACACACCCCCCAACCCCTGGGCCAGTGCAGTACCCCAGAGGAGGGGCCGCAGGCCCTAAGAGGTCCCAGTCTCCGACGGGTGGGTGTGGGGCTGGAGCGGCAGTGGGTTGGAGCCCCCCTGTAGGCACAAAAACTCTGCACCTGATATAAGGCCACCCAAGTCCCTGCCCCAGGAGTGAAAGGGTTTTTTACATCTTAACATTTAGTGCCCCTCCTGGACTTGGGGCTCCCCGCTTGGGGCCTCACCTCTGCAGGACCATGGGCGTGGGCAGGGTGTTTTCCGGGGCGCACTGCAAGGAGACAGGAGAGGCGAGGTTGGAGAGCAGAGACCCCCACACCCCCCGCGGGCCGCCCGGCTGACTCCGAGAACACCAGAGCACAGGGGTGGTGAATGCAGCTTCACCACCGGTAACCCGCCAGGCTGGGGGCGGGGCCTGCCTCTCACCACAGCTGCCCCTTCCAGATGGTTCCCAGATCCTAGAAGAGGGTTGGAGTCCCTTCCACCTTGAGTCTTTGCTCCCCACAGTGCTGATCTTTGACCTAAGCACCTACCCCCTGGGATGACCACTGGGCAGAAGACAAAGACATCGCGGGTTTCCCAGACTGGTGGGTAGAGAGCCTGGAACTGCAGTTGGCAGGCCATGAGTCTACCTTGGCTTGCTGCCCGACTGCCACCTGGCTGACCTCAGCTTGACGCTGTTCGAGAAGAGGTGGCCCCAGCACCTCCTGAACACAGGGCTTGGCAAGGAGGAGCACCTGCAGTGCAGCTTGAACTTGGCCAGCAGGCAGTGGGGGTTTCCCTACTGCACCCTAGCTCACTCTGGGGCTCTTCGACCCTTGCTCTGAGTAACCCGGGCCCTTTGGCAGAGGCTGGATGGAGGTCTGAGGACTCCCACGCCACCTGGGGCCCCCACTCACCCCCTGCACCCAGGGGTGCTGCAGGACTTGGGCAGCGCTCAGCCTCTGCTTGGCATCACGGACGAGGAGCTTGGAGATGAGGTCTTTGGCAGCAAAGGAGATGTGGGCCCAATCCTTCTCTGGAAACTCGTACTTGCCCTCCTGGATGCTCTCAAACAGCATGTTCTGGAGGGGACACGGGGAGAGGGGTCAGCTACAGCCAACAAGGGCTGAGGCCATGTCCCCAATGCCTGGGTGGGCAAGCCCAGACCTGGAGCGCACCTCTCCTCCAACACATCCCGTGTGACCTGGGCCTGGGCTTAGGGTTAGGGAAAGTGTTCTGAGCTCAGCTAGCAAAGCTGAGGCACTGGGAGGCTGGGCCAGAGAGTGGCTTCCGGGAGGCACTTGGGCTCTGCTGGAGTGAGCTGAATCAAGGGGAAATCAGGCCATGACGCCTGAGCCTCAGGTGGTCTGTAGAAGGCTAGAACCTGACCACGCCAAACCATAGGCCTTGCCTTACCTCAACTTCCTATCCTCAGGCTCCCAAGGAGCTCTGGAAAGGCAGCAAGGTCAGGCTGGCAGTGGCCTGCTAATGTGGCCAGCGGTTGGAGGCGAAGCCCTAAGGGGTGCTCAGGGGTACACGCGCCAGAACCTGCGGTTGGATGTGCGTTTGTGTGCACACAGCCCTGGGGGATGCACGAGCCGGTCCCCAGGGTGAGGGGTAAGTGTGTACATAGACCAGGCCTTGGGGTGCACCAGGCAGGCCGCGGTGAAGGCGCACAACCTGTGTGTATGAGCGTGTGTGCGTGCAAGCCGAAGCAGGCCTGGCGGGGTGCTGGGGGAGGGGCGCACAGCAGGCCGCCCCTCGCACCTGGCAGGCAGGGCAGGCCTCCCCGCGGTCCCAGCCGCAGTCGCTGCCGCAGTGGCCCACGAAGGGCGGGTAGCCGCTGAGCAGGATGTAGAGGATGACGCCCAGGCTCCAGAGGTCGCAGCGCTTGTCGTAGATACTGGCCTCCTCGCTGAAGGCCTCCACTACCTCCGGGGCCATGTACTCCGCGGAGCCGCACTGCGGGCGGGGGCAGGGCATTAGGGCCCGCGGAGGCGGGAGGGGGTTCACCGATCTAGACTTCCTGAAGCCCGTGCCCGACCAATCAGAGGCTAATAAAGAAAACAGCCCCGCCTTCGCTCTGCCGACCAATCAGAAGCCACCGAGGGAGCCGGCCCCACCCCAACCCTCACCCCCACCCAATCAACAGGTGCCGGGAGCACGCCCAGGACCACGGAGCCCGCGACTGCGGCCCTGCCCAGCCAATCAGCGGCTGTTGCTAAGCGGAAGCTCAAACTTTGAGGCCTCAGCAGTCAAGCAGGATCCGCACCTTGAGGTTATGTAACTGCGGTCTGGGACCGGATTCGGGACCATTCCCGCCCCCTCCGCCCCTGCCAGCACTGCCCCTCCTCGCAGGCCCTCACCGGGGTGAGCAGTTCTGGGGTGGAGATGGGGGAGCAGTCCCCGTTGAGTTTGATGCCACTGCCCAGGTCAAAGTCGCAGATCTTCACGGGGGACACCTGGGTGGGGTTGGAACAGGCTGTGAGGGCTGGGTCCTGGGGGCCTGGTCCGAAAGGAAGGCCGCCCCCTTCCGCGCCCCTCACCTGGTTGGGGTGCTCACAGAGGATGTTTTCCGGCTTTAGGTCCCTGTGGGCGATGCCTGCCGGCAGAACCAAGAACCACCAGGGCTGGTCAGGGGTGGGTGGGCACGTTTTCCAGGAGTCCTGGGCAGGTGGACTGGGTGCAAGGGTGGACACCTAGGACCCCTGGGGCAGGTGGAGCGGCCACCCACCTTTGTTGTGCAGGAAGTCCAGGGCACTGGCTACGTCCTGCACCACCACGCTGGCCTCCAGCTCGTTAAAGTGCCGCCGCTTGTGTATGTGGCTGAGAATGGAGCCTGGGCCAGACCATGGAGAATACACAGGTGTCACCTCCACTGCCCAACGCCCAGCACCCACCCCACCCTGGCAGGGAAGTTCCCACTCTGATCTCTTTGAATCCAAAGTCCTTCAACCTGAGCTGGGGCCGCCACCCTGCATCCCCAAGGTCCCTCTGATGGGCAGGCCCCCTGGGAGTTTCTCCCTGGTGGCCCTGAGTCCCCAGGCCCATTGGAATCCAGACAAAAATTGCGCCAGGCCCCACATACCACCCCGCATCTTCTCAAACACCAGGTAGAAACGGTCCTCCTCCTCGAAGAACTCAATCAGCTCGAGGACGTTCCTGGGGTGTGGGGCAGAGGGGCAGGGGAAAGGTTGAGGCTTCCTCAGGCCCGCATGCAGCCGCAGCCACAGCCCTGCCCAGGAGGGGGTGCACCTCCTCCACCTCCACCTGCAGGCAGGAGGCATGGGCCCAGGGCCATGGGCCTGCTTCCACCTTGCCCACCTTGGACTGTCTGGCTTGCCCACCACTGGGCCCACCCATGACACAGGGCCTGGCACACAGTGGGTGCTCACTAAGTGGCCACTGTGGGTGATGAGAAGGCTCTTGGGCCCATTCATCTGCTGAAAGGTGGCTAGGGGCCCAGTGCTGTGATGAGGCTAGGTCACGTTACCTGTGTCCCTGGCACTGATACAGCATCTCCACTTCCCTGAAAACCCTGCTCCGAATGTGGCCTGGCTGCTTCTCAATGATCTGAAATGGCCGGGGGTGGGGGGGATAGGGGTGGTGAGGACAGATACACATACAGAAACACAACTGGAGCAGCTGGATCCTCCACAGCCCACCAGAAACTTCCCCTGGGTCACGCCTGAAACTCATCAGAGCTTAGACTTTTAGGCTCTGGAAAGCAGAGCTCTCCCATGGGGGCCCAGAATTTACCGGAAGTCAAACTTGTGGCGTCAGCACAAACTGGGGGCAGCGTGTCCCCAGAGGCCTCCCAGGAGGGGTAAACAGGGCAGGAGAGGCAGAGAGGAGCTGGAGCTCTCCTACTGGAGCAGGCCGATTTGGACCTGGAGCCCCTGAAACTTACACCTTCAGGGCAGCAGGTTCTTTAGACGAGGCACCCCCCCACCCACCTCCCAGAGCAGGAGACTGGGGGCCACTGTGCTGACTCACACCCCACCCAGAGGAGTAGAGGTGCCTGGGGCACCTGGCTCCT